ATGATCTCCCCTGCCTCTGCCTCCCGAGTGCTGGTATTAAAGGGGTGCACCCCCACCGCCTGGCCTTTTTTTTTTTTTCTAATGTATTATTTATTTTAATTTTCTGTGGTGGTGTTTTGCTTATGTCTGTGTGAGGGTGTCAGAAGCCCTGTAGCTGGAGTTACAGGTGTGAGCTGGCATGTGGGTCCTGGGAATTGAACTCTGGGGACCTCTGGGAGAGCACTTGAGAGCAGCCAGTTATCTTAATTGCTTAGCCATCTCTCCAGCCTTCCCTCCCTCTTTGGTTTGGTTGTATTTGGTATTTTTATTTATTGATAAGTGTCTCATTTTGTAAGTCTGGCACTACTAGTAGTCCAAGATGTTTTTTGACACTTTCTGTGTTACTTTCCTCAGTGTTGGGATTACATAGAAATGTGTCACCTTTTCCAACCTTGTCATTTAATGCCACTTCATTGTACCTTCGATATAGGCAGAAAGAGTGCATCCTGAAATCTTATCCTTGTCCAGGTCAGAAATGTTATATTTTGAACTGTAGGGCCCTGTTACTCCAGAATAGAAATACATGCAATTATTTTGTTTGTTGCCTTTTGTTTTTCTAGAGAGGATCTTTCTAGCTTAGGAAGCTGTCCTGGAACTAGCTCTGTAGACCAGGCTGGGCTTGAACTCACAGAGATCCATCTGTTTCTGCGTCTTGCGTTCTGGGATTAAAGGCATGCACCACCAACACCTGTTTCTAAAAACATTTTTAAAAGTGAATAAATTAATTTAAAAAATTGGGGGGCTGTTGAGGTGGCTCAGCACTTGCTCCCACAACTGATAGTATTTGTTGGTTTAGTGCCTGGGACCCACATTGTGGAAAGAGAAAACTAACTTCCCACAACTGTTCTCTGACCTACACATACTCACTGTAAATTAAAGGTTACAACGATAGAAAATTCTATGGTTTGGGATACAGTGTATTGGAAAGCCTTTGATCAATACTGGATTTTTGTTTTGCTTTGTTTGCTGGAATAGAACCAAAGGCATCATACGTTGAGACGGGGTTCTCTGTATCCCTGGCTGTCCTAGAACTTGTGTGTGTGTCACAATGCTTCACAAAGCATGGATTCCTATAAATTGATAGTTGCCAACCCTCAAACATTATAGATGTAATACATGGTTTCATTGTCTTTCATTGACTTTATAGTGCTTTATATATTTTTTCAATAAATAAAACTGCCATGGGAGAAGTTGAAATTTGAGATTGGATCTAATTCATGGTATAGTGTTTGGTAAGCATATAGCAGTCCAACTCTGCAGAAAGAAGTACAGACCTTAAATCATTTTAGCTTTCTAGTATTGATTAATTTCGTAAAATGACTTTCAGTTTGAATTTGGTTGCACTGTTTTGTGTATTCATTTGATTTAATCTTGACAAATTCCCCCTCTTGCTTAAACTACTTTTTGTGTATGTGTATATGGATGTGAGTGTGACTCTTGACATTGGGGCCAGAGGAAGGATATCAGATGCTTTCTATTATTCCCTTTATAGCTTTGATATATGTTCTCTTGCTGACCTGTAATCTTGTCAACTTTTCAGTTTCTTAGATACTTCTATCCCCACACCCCATGGTGGGATTATAGGCATGCACAGCCATACCCAGCATTTTGTGTGTGTGCTTGGGACCTGAACTGATCTGGGTCCTTATCGTTTGTACAGCAAGCTTTCTTTACCCACTGAGTCATTTCCCAGTCCCTTAACTTTGTACTTTTTTAAAAAAATTTTTAGGTACTGGGATTAGAACCTTTGGATTCATGCATGCATGTTTTCCTACCAAGTTAGTTTGTAATCCATATGCAAGGAAGGTCAACTCGGCTTCTTAGTAGTGATACTTTCCTCTACCTTTATGGTGAAGAAAAATAAGATTATGGCTACTTCTGCACTTTTCTATTTTGTGTTGCTGGAAGGGTAAGCGTTCTACCAATGAGCAAGTTCCTCAGTCCTCATTCATTTGGAAGGAAGGGGCAACATGTTGTGATTGTCTCTTACTGGCCTGTAACCCTGGATCTAACTTTTCTTTGAGTGCTGGATTATAGGCAGTGCTACCATATTGGCTCAGAAATTGTAATCTTACCTTCACTTAGTGTGGTATAGTTATACATGTATGTTTTTTACAAGTCCAAGCATGATTCTTTTACTGACTTTCGACTGTACATGTATGCTTATTTATCGTTTGGTGTGCTAAGCAGTTTTCTTCTTTTTTACAGGACATAAGCAGCTCTATGACCAATAGCACAGCTGCCAGTAGACCTCCCGTCACCTTACGGTTGGTGGTTCCTGCTAGTCAGTGTGGCTCTCTCATTGGGAAAGGTGGTTGCAAGATCAAGGAAATAAGAGAGGTTGGTGTGTCTCATGTTGAGTCCCATGTACATCCATCCATGCCCACCCACCACTCCTTAGCTTCAGTTTCATTTTTAGCTTTGATTGGCCTGACCATTTAGACAAAGATCTTTTTTGTTTTTTTTTTTTTTTTTTTTTTCGAGACAGGGTTTCTCTGTGTAGCTTTGGAGCCTATCCTGGCACTCGCTCTGCAGACCAGGCTGGCCTCGACTCACAGAGATCCGCCTGCCTCTGCCTCCCGAGTGCTGGGATTAAAGGCGTGTGCCACAAAAGCCCGACTTTAGACAAGGATCTCTATAAGAGCCTTCTGCCTCTGCCTCATGAATGGATACACTGTCATAGCCATAGCAGATTGTGTTATGGCTAGAAAAGGTTAGCATTTGATGCCAAGATTTAAGTTGGGCTTGGTGGTCGTTCAAGTCTATAATCTCAGCTACAGTGGAAACTGCAAGTTCAGGTCTTGCCTTTTCTGTAAAGTTTAAGGCCAGCTTACTAGGGCAATTTAGGAGACCCTTTCTAAAAAAAACACAAGAATGGAGCCAGGTATGGTGGTGCGTTTCTTTAATAATCCCACCACATGGAGTTATAGGCAAAAGGGTCAGCATGATCTATCTACATAATAAATTCCAGGCCAGCCAGGTATACATGGGACCCTCTCAGTTTAAAAAAAAAAAAAAGTGGCATTAAAAAGGGGTGTCCTGCTGGGCGATGGTGGCGCACACCTTTAATCCCAGCACTCGGGAGGCAGAGGCAGGCGGATCTCTGAGTTCGAGACCAGCCGGGCTACAAGAGCTAGTTCCAGGACAGCCTCCAAAGACAAACAGAAACCCTGTCTCAGAAAAAAAAAAAAAAAAAAAAAGGAGTGGAGGTTATACTGATTTGGTATAGTGGTACTATAGTTGTTTAGCATGTCTGTGGCCCTAGATTATTATTTTGTTGTTGCATATACAGTGTTCTGTCTGCAGGAACACAGGGCACCAAGGCTCATTACAGATGGTTGTGAGCCATCATGTGTTTGCTGTGAATTGAACTCAGGATCTCTGGAATACAGGGCTCTAATGTTCTTAACCATTGAGCCATCTCTCCAGCCCTGTGGCCCTGGGTTTAACCCCATACTGATTTCCCCATCGTGATTTGCAGTCCATGAATACTATAGTATGATGATACTGAACTTAAAAGTGTTGAAAAAAATTCATATATTTCAATTTTTGTGTTCAAGGTGGGTGTCACAAATACTAGGTGGAGGCTCCCCCATTTAGTACATAGCCTTTGCTTGTTTCAGTAATGAGTCAGAATATGAATGTTAATTAGAATGTCTATATAGATACCATTTATTTTAGTTTTGGTTTTTTTTTGTGTGTGTGTTCATGGAAGGGTTGGCTTTTCAAGACATGTTTTCTCCCTGTAGCACATTAAAGACTGAGCCATTCCCCTCCCCCTTACTGGTATAACACACACACACATGGCGCGAGCACATACTGGTCAGAGGACTTGTAGTGTGGCAGTCAGTTGTTTTATTCTGCCATGTAGGTTCACTGGGATCTAACACTGGTTGCTAGATTTAGTGGCATTGACTTTACATACTGAACCACCATCTTTTTTATTTTTTATTTATTTTTTTGAGATTTATGTATTTATCTATTTTGATTTTTCGAGGCAAGGTTACTATACAAGGTGACCTCCAATTTAGACCCTCTTGCCTCTGCCTCCTAAGTGTTGGGATTAAAGTCATGAGTCACCAGGCCTGGGTTGATTTATATTTAATTATATATATACATCTCTGTGACTATTTGCATGGAAGTGTGGGTGCTTTGGAGCCTGGAAGAGGGTTCTAGATTCCCTGGGGCTGGCGTTTGAGGTGAGTAGACATGACTGCAAGGAAAAGAATTCAGATTATCTGTAAGAACATTAGAAGCTGTAAACAGCAGAGCCTTTTCTCTAGTCCTAAAATTATAATAAAGAAGATATATATATATATATATATATATATATATATAATGAGCTTTTTGCTTGCCTGTATGTATGTACACCAAGTATGTGCCAGTTGTCAGTGGAATTCAGAAGAGTTGAATCTCCTGAAATACATGAGTTACAGATAGTTGTGAGCGATATGTTTATGACAGGAACTAAGTCCAGGTCCTTAGTAAGATCAACAGATGCTCTGAACCATTCAGCCATTTTTCCAGTACGTTCAAAACAATAATTTATTTTTTCAGGCTAGGTTTCACTTTGTAGGCTAGGCAGGTCTTGAACTCAGAGATCACCTGTGCTGGCACTGAAGATGAAAGGTGTGCACCACCATGCCTGGCTAAACCAATTTTTTTTTTTTTTTTTTTTTTTTTTTTTTTTTTGGTTTTTCGAGACAGGATTTCTCTGTAGCTTTGTAGCCTATCTTGGCACTCTGGAGACCGGGTTGTGAATCATCATATGGTTGCTGGGAATTGAACTCAAAACCTCTGGAAGAGCGGTCAGTGCTCTTAATCTCTGAGCCATCTCTCCAGCTTGGCAGCAAGCATTTCTTGCTGGCCTCTTGCTAGCTGGTTTTTTTTTGTTGTTGTTGTTGGCCTCCAACACACAGAGATCTGCTTGCCTCTGCCTCCCAAGTGCTGGGATTAAAGGCGTGGGCCACCACTGCACCCGGCTTAGCTTTTTTTTTAAGACAGCAGTCTATTTTCCATTTTTCTTTTTTTTGGGGGGTGGGGAGTGTTGAGACAGGATTTCTCTGACTTTGGAGGCTGTCCTGGAACTAGCTCTTATAGACCAGGGTGGTCTTGGACTCATAGAAATACATCTGCCTTTGCCTCCTGAGTGCTGGGATTAAAGGCATGTGCCAAAATGTGTTTTATTTTCCATTTCTTTTATCATTTTCTCATTTGTCATTTCATTTATCTTTGTGTTGAGACAGGATTTCTCTGTAACCTTGGGTACTCTGTAGACGAGGCTGGTCTTGAACTCGGAATTGCCTACCTCTTTCCCTCAGACACTGTGATTAAAGGGGTACACCAACACCATTTGGCTTCTTTTCCTCTGTGTGTCTGTCTCTTTTTTTATGTGCCTTGGTGATTAGCTTATAGGTATGTCTGTGTTAGGGAGCCAGATCCCCTAGAATGGAGTTACAGACACTGTGAGCTGTCTGTCACGTAGGTGCTGGGACTTGACCTGATCTTCTGGAAGAGCAGCAAGTGCTCTTAACCTCTAAGCCATCTCTCCAGCCCCCACCCAAGCTTCTTTATCAACTTTTCATGAAGTTCTTTCATGTCTGAATGAAAAGTACTAAATGGTTCCAAAAAGGGAAGCTAGTTGGAATTTTTTTGAAGTCCTTGTACATGATTGTTAGTAGTTTTGGCACAGGGGGAGGTGGTTTTTTATGTGCATTGGTGTTTTGCCTATATGTATGTCTGTGAGTATGCCATATCCACTGGAACCAGACAGGTGCTGGGAATTGAACCTGGGTGTTTTGGAAACCAGTGCTCTTAACCTCTGAGCTATCTCTCCAGCCCTCATATATTTTAAATCTTGGAATGGTACCTCACACACAGAATAGGATTGATGAAAAAGAGTGTAAAAGATGGGAAAAGAGAAAGAAAGGGTTTATAAGTATCTAGTGAGCATTACATGTGAAAGTTGCTGCTGTTGGGAAGAATTGAACATAGTTCTGATTTTTAATTTCTTTTTACCTTAAAGAGTACAGGGGCTCAGGTCCAGGTGGCAGGGGATATGCTTCCCAACTCAACTGAGCGGGCAATCACTATTGCTGGCATTCCGCAATCCATCATTGAGTGTGTCAAACAGATCTGCGTGGTCATGTTGGAGGTAAGCCCTCAGGCTCATGCTGGAGGTGGGGTTGATTTGGGGGACAGAGGAACTGATCTATATTTAGTGAGACTAGAATTAGGTGAAGCTGGTGGCTATCAGTGGGGGTGGGTAAGTTCTCCTGCAGTCATACTTTCTTTTCCCAGTTTTGACTTATCTTAGTCTGTGAACAAAAATAGAATCTGTTAAATAGTCTTGTGGTTCAGAACAATTCTATTATGGTGGGTAAGATAAGATTACAAGGACTTGGATTCCTAAAATACTAATTGATCTTGTGAATTGCTTGACGTTGACACATTCTTTCATTTTTCATTTGAAACAGGATATAGTCAACACAATAGTTATGTATCATAGAAAAAGTATCAATGGTGTTGTTTCTGAGTGAATTATGAAGTCCTGCTAATATAGAAATTAAGGCAAATTAAATCTTGAGTTATATGGCATTGAATCAGAAAGGAAAAGGTCTTGCTTGTGTCTTTGAGCCATATGTAACATTTGCAAGTTTCATATCCAACTTTGGTTTTATTATTATAAAAAAAAGTGAGATTCTAAAAATTACCAGCTAAAGTATATCTACACATTGTTTTTTTTGTGTGTGTGAATTAAATTTATGCATGTGGAAATGATGATAAATAATTTCAGAACATCATTGGTGGGAATTAGTGTGAGCTATATATAATTCATGAACTTCCTTGTCGCGCTAAAGACAAATACTGTCAGATATTTTAAATAACATCTAATCATGTACAACTTGATAAATCGAGGGGATGGAAATAATTTTTATTTAACTGACCTGTGTGTGCTATAGCCACACAGCTGAAGCAGCTTTGAAACCTTATCTCTTTTTGTTTTTTTCCCCTCTGACTCTCTCCCAGTCCCCCCCGAAGGGCGTGACCATCCCGTACCGGCCCAAGCCCTCGAGTTCTCCAGTCATCTTTGCAGGTGGTCAGGTAAGAGACTTTTTATTGGTGGACTAGAATGAACAAAGATTATATTTTAAATAATCTACTTTGCCAGCAGCACACCAAGCTATTTTGCATGCTTGCTGAAAACCTGTACTTTTGGCCATAGTTTGAGTTGCTTTTTTTTTTTTTTTTTGTACTGGAAAAAGTTTTGAATGCCAAGATCTTATTTTATTTTTAGCAGGCAATGGAAGTTTTGTAGACACTCAGAAGAGTATTTGATTTGGTAATTTAAGGTGGTTTGGGCTAGAGTTAAATTCCATCAGTGTTACTACTTTTCTCCCTATATCAACATCCCATCCATGCTTTTGTATGTGTGGGATGTTAGAGGTCTGAGTAATGATAGCAAAGAAGTTGGACCTCTGGAGATTCTGGATGGTAATCTCAAATGACATGGGGACATGGGGTGGTCCTGAACTTGAGTGTCCTACAAATTTTCCCTACCCTTCACCTCACCTCCCCTACTCCTACCCTTTCACCCCCAAACTCCAGTGTGTTATCCCCCAGACTCTTAACCTCATAAACACTGGTTTGAAACCCCATGACATAATTGAAATCAGCTGGAGTAAGAGGAGCATACATGGTTAGGATGGGGAGAGCATGCTGCACTCAAGTATGAGAACACCAGAACATTCTCTTGGCGCCTCTATTCCTCCTCACCAGCCTAAATAAACCATTTCTCTTTTGACACAATTTATTCTAAAGTTAGGGTTGTGTGAGAAGAGCATTGATAAATGTCATGGTACTAATGTATTTTGATGGTTGGTGCTTACTTTGAGTAATAGGTTTTTAGAATACTGGAATTCAGGTTGAAATAGTCACCTTCATTCTGGTAGGTGAAGGTACGTAGCTTAAAGTGCCTTTCCCACTTGGGGCTGTCCTATTTAAAAACATCTATATTTAACTAGATACATTTATTTGTATTCTGTCTGAAAGCCATTTGAGAGGGAAAGCATCAGCTTGGAGTCTATCAGATTTTACTGAAAAATAAAAATGAACAAGTGTATGTCTTGGGTGAGAGCTTTCACAAGTAGTCATATTTCAGTGTTACCTTGAGATGTGTTAGAACTTTGTTTTAGCATGAACTTTGTTTAAGCAGGTTTGTCAAAGGGCTGTCAATACAAGTATTTGGGCAGGATAAGCAACATCTCAATCATTGTAGCCAGGAGGGTTAGCCTCAGGAATTATCCCTTTTCCCTTGGAACTCTAGGTTCTCCAGTGCAGTGTCACCACCAATCCTCTATTACAATTTTTTCTTCTTTATCTTTGCTCCCTGTCACTCCTTTCCCTTTGTACCTCTTGCTTCCTTTCCCTCCTCCCTCCCCTTTATTCAGTTAATCTGCCCTCTAAAAGCTTGCAGCTTCTTTCATGAGTCGCCCTGTCGTGGGTCACATTCCCATGGGCCTTTTTACAAATGGATCAGTTCATACAATGTCCACAGATGGGCCTCTGTCTTTTGTGGCAAAGTGGGCTCTGTAGAGGTTCAACTTAATCCTACAGTGACCAAGACCTGGCATCAGCTGTTATCTCACTCCTCACTCTTACTGAAAATAACCCAATTGTGCAGTGTCATCTGCCATTAGGTAACTTTTTTTTTTATTATTATTATTCACTGATTACAGCTCGTTGCAAATCTGTGTTGTGAGCTCCTTTTTAAGGAAAAAAGAAAAAAATAAACAACTTTTTTTGGTGTGAATTTCATGCTGGTGACAAGGTGCCGGATTGACAGCCCTGGAGACTGAAATCCTCTATTTATCCACAGGACAGGTACAGCACAGGCAGCGACAGTGCGAGCTTTCCCCACACCACCCCGTCCATGTGCCTCAACCCTGACCTGGAGGGACCACCTCTAGAGGTGAGAGGGGATGTTCAGTCTCCAAGGCTCACTCAATCCTTCTGCCTCAGCCGAGACTGCCAACACACGGGGGGCCTGTGGCGCTGGTGATTTTTGTGCTGTGGACACCACCTGTCCACGGGGACCTGGACTGACCTCCCCACCTCATTTCACACAGGCCTCGTAGCACACCAGATGGTAACACCAACTTTTTTTTTTTTTTTTTTTTTTTTTTTTTTTTCATTTCCCCCAGGCCTCCTTGCCCCCCAGATGGTGACACCAACTTTTTTTTTTTTTTTTTTTTTTTTAATTTTTTGTTGTTGTTCAATCCCTCTTTTCCCTCTCCCACTCTTCCCATCCCATTTTCACCTTCCCACCCCCACCTGGATGTGTTTTTGGGGGTATTGGCCACTGTGACTGATGTGAGAAACTTCACATTCTATTAAGTAACCAGCCACTCCTTCCCTCCATCCCTTCTTTTTTTCCTTTCCTCCTTGTCTTCCCCCCCCCCCCATTACCCTGAAGACCCAGCTCCCTTTTTGGGAGGATATGGTATGGGGAGGAGGGCATAGTGGGAGTGCAAATGCCTTTATACAAGGGAGGGCGGGGGGGAACAGGACTTAGCACATTGATTTCCTCCCCACCCCCAGTGCTTTTGTGGTCAGGTCCCTAGTGTTAGAGACCTAGCTAGGTTCTAGTAAACTTAAGGTCTCAGGCAATGTTTGAGCACATGTGGTGCAGGTTTGTGCAGATAAAAATCATTCATAATAGCATGATTACTACCTTGAATACATGGGTGGGGGGATTGGTCAGATGAGCCATTGCTTTTATTTCATTTTCCACATTTTTGTTAAAAAGCACATATGTATATTTTGCCTTAATCAAAAAGAACTTGTACACCCTTTTAAGAGGATCCATGGAATAAAGTTACTGTATTTAGGATTCAAAGAAGGGCCATACCAGGCCTGACTATTTGTGAGATTTCCTCTACTGCCTCAATCTGCCTCCCCTTCTCTAGTTCAACTCTGGCTTCCTGGCTAGTTGAAAATTTATCATCCCTCCCACACTGGGTGGCTGTCCGTGATTGGTTTTTAATAGGAACTGTTTTCCTCCTTTTGTAGGCCTATACCATTCAAGGACAGTATGCCATTCCACAGCCAGATGTAAGTTTTGACTTCACTTCTTGTTTGAAAAACTCCCTCTCCATCCAAAGTTGTCTGACTTCTTTCTCCTTAGTAGACAGGATTAAGTTGTGTTTGAACCTTTTCAGTGTTGTTATGGCTTTCAAGGTGAACAGTATGAACTTGTTTGCCTTTGACTGTAACCCTAGAAATTATCAGGTTATTAGTTTCTTTCCCCTGTGTTTCAGATTACACTAAAAGAAATGTTCCATGGTGCACTATTAATATCTTGGCACGATTCAAACTGTCAGTAAAGTGTGCTTCCCATTGGGAGAGTGGGAGGTTGGGTTTGGCTTTAGGCACCCCTCAGTCTGAGGTTAGAAAAAAGGTTAGAAAAAGCATTGAGGGTTTGCTTACATATGGAAACTAGAAAACTGATTTTTGGACTTTACTAAGTTCAACTCAAACTTTACTAAGAACCTCCTACTTTAAAAGTACTGGTATTTAGATTTTTGTCCAAGAACATTTTTTTCCCTTCACGTTTCTTTCATACTTATTAAAACCCTTTCAGGTGCCGATCATTAAACTTGAAAGTTGAGTTTGGTTCTTGGTTAGTGGTAGCCCTTAGGACAGGTATGAAGTAGAGTAGGAGAGGGATTATTTTGTCACCAGATAGAACAATCTGTGTATTATGAATAAGATAGTTGGAAAAGTAATAGTTGGGGATGACACCCAGTTTGGTTTCTTGTTAAGCCTCTCTCCTTGCAGTGTCCCTGCCCTCCTCATCTCCTTCCCTTTTCCTAATACTGGTGGAACCCTGCATGGTGTGTTTTCCCTAGCACCACTGCACAGTTTGTTTATCTAGCCTGTCTGTGCTTGTCTCTGGGGCAACTGTTGGCAATGGCTGTGAACACCATTAAAAAGTCCCGAGGGGATGGTTGTTGGGCCGGTGTTACCTGCTTTCCTTTCATAAACCCAAAATGCATTCATTCTTGTATACTGACATCCTTTCTGTTTCTAACCCTTACCTGTCATATTCTGCCTGTCCTCTGGATTGTACTGTAAGCCCCATTCTTATCCTATGTTATAGTTGGAATAGTAGAATCAATTTTGGGAGTCAGCAGCTGTGTACATTCTCACATCTGGATGTACTTGAGTGCTAGGTTACCCTTCTAATGCTGGTCTCCTGTTTTCCTTCCCACAGTTGACCAAGCTGCACCAGTTGGCAATGCAACAGTCTCATTTTCCCATGACCCATGGCAACACCGGATTCAGTGGTATGGATGCCTCAGTGTTTATTTTTGTAAGGTGTAGTACAAGATAGAGGCCAGTCCCAAGGTCTCAGCTTGACAACTGTTTAAACAAACATTATCATCCAGCACCTGCTGGTATAAACTTGACCTACTGTGGCTAAAGGAGGTAATGTGTTTGTTAACATGATTTTCATTTGGGGTGAGTTAATTATAAAAGAATAAAAAACCCTATAAGATTTGGGGTGAGGTCTGGGGATGCTTGTCAAGAAAGGGGTAGGCTGATGTTTCTTTCTATAGCCCATCCTGATCTGATAGTGGCCACCTTGCTCTGATTAGCATCCCCTTTCTTTCCACCAGGTGCTCACAAGACTTGGGTAGAGACAATCCATTTGTTCCAAATTATGTAGTGTATTTTTGTTTTCGTTTTTGTTTTGTTTTGGGGCTTTTTTTTTTTTTTCTGTATAAGGAATAACTTGTCCGATAGGGTTAGAATGAGACCACCAAACTCATTTTCACTTGTATCTTAACAGGCATTGAATCCAGCTCTCCAGAGGTGAAAGGCTATTGGGGTAATGATTAAAAAAAAAAATCTGTAGTATTCTACTGTTATATTAATAAACTGGTGGGAGTCTTGTTTCACTGCCCATAAACCATATCAGCAACATGCACATGGCAGAGAGGAGCTGAGAGAGCAAAGGGGTGGGCCTGGTGCCCCTGAGGGTCCCTTGATGGATCTGGCCAACCACCTTCTAAAAATGTAGTTGAGAGCAGGACTAGAATTGTTAGGGTTAGCCAGCCGGAATGGCCCAATCCTGGTGTTCTTGTGGAGGGTAGGGGTGTTTATGATGGGATTTTTTTTTTCTTTTTCTTTTTTCCTTTGGAGAACCAAACAAAAGGCAGAACAATTAGAGCAAAAGAACAGAAAAATCTGGAGAAATAAACTCCCCTCAAACTGGTTGCCATTTTATCTTTAAGTCTAGTTGGGGGAGGATAGAGTTGTGGAGGGTGTTAACTCTAATACAGGTATAATTAAAGCAACTCAGTGTTTGTGCCAAGAGTCTCTGATACCCGGTATCATACCAGGAATGAAATTGGCACTGATTCTATTGAGCATTGGGTGTAATAAAATTAGGGTATAACAGTAATCTTAATCAGAAAGGGGATAGATGTATAGAAGCCTTGCTGTTTAGAATTTGCTCCTGTTTTAGAGTGCCACACTGTTTGCCCCTTGTTATCTCCCTACCTGTTAGTCTGGGCTTTGCAGGAAATGGCATGAAATCAGCTCTTCTGATTGTACAGAAGAATCTTTCCAGCATTGTTCTGATTCCCCTCTCCCATCTTTCCTCCTTGGAGGCTTCAGAGTTAGTGATGAATCCCAACAGCCAATGCTGGGTTTCCAGTTTATTTCCTTCTGTTAGTTTAATGTGCAGATCACTGATTCTGGATGCTGTCCATTAAACTTTCTTGCTCTTTTCTGTCTTTTAGCAGGTTTGGATGCATCTGCTCAAACTACTTCTCATGAACTCACCATTCCAAATGATGTAAGTATAAAGTAGGTTAGAATTCCTAAGAAAACCTTGTGAGAGAATTGATAGAATTCACTGTTACAAACTTCAAATGCAGAACCTCTGTAGAAATTCTTATTTGCCTTTCTGTTAAAGCATCTGGAACTCGGGGAGCTCTGTTTCCCTCAATGAGCATTAGAATTTAACTATGCTTTGGGAGGAGGGATGATGTCAGGATGAATTCTTGAATTTTGATGGTCCAGTGGTTATTCCTAGCTGTCTTGCTGGATTCATTATCAAGTACTGTTGTGGTTAATTTGCCTTTGGAGTGGAGGCAATACTATGGGGAGAAGAACAAAGGCTAATGGTTGGGCTGAGAAATTGGCTTGGAGTTGACCTTGATTTGTAGTTAATCACATGAATGGTTCAGGAATTCAAGTGGGAACTATAATCAAGGTTTTGATAGTAGTATACCAGAAGATCACAAAGTGTAATTTTAGGCACAAAGTGTAGAAATTGGTTGTTACATGTTCTTGTGTGTAGCTATTCAACTCTTAATTTAGTATGCTTTTTTTTGTTGTTTGTTTCTGAAGTTGATTGGCTGCATAATCGGGCGTCAGGGCGCCAAAATCAATGAGATCCGTCAGATGTCTGGGGCGCAGATCAAAACTGCAAACCCAGTGGAAGGATCTACTGATCGGCAGGTCACCATCACTGGGTCTGCTGCCAGCATTAGCCTGGCTCAGTACCTTATCAATGTCAGGTAAGTCTGTCCTGTCCTGTGCTTTATGAATACCAAATAGTAATGAGGGGAGGGTGTTGCCATATGGAAATAGGGGTTGAGTTTACCTGAGGTGGGTACAGATTGCAACCCCTTTTTTTTTCCCCCTTGAGCTCTGCTTCTGTCTTTAGCAGAGGAAAATAACCAACCAGATCGCTTGGTTTTTGTTTTTGATGTTTTGGAACAGTGGAAAGGGTGGCAGTATATGTCTGCTGAATAGGACAGTACCCTAACAAAAGCAGATACACTTGAAACACAATTGTATTTTACTTGTTTTACATATCATGTAGACAGGTTATTTCTTTTACGGATTTTGAGTCCAAGGCACCTTGAAGTTTTAGGAAAACTGAGACATCTAAGTAGCTCCTAGGAGATACTTGTTAGCATTTACTCTGCAAACTTATTTATCAAATGGCAAGTGCGTTCCATTATTTGTTGGGAAAAAAGAAGCACAGGCTTAGGAGTGCTGTAGATACTGTAAGCATATATTTCTCTCCTATTCCTCACCCCATTCTCAAACATCTTCAAGTGACTTCCTAAGGTTTTATTTCCCTATTCGCAGGTACTGTAGCTATACTTTCTGTTGTAGGACAATTTTATATATATAGTCAAATGAGCACCCTACTGGGTGTTTTCTTTCCTTAGCTCTAACTCAATCACATTGTTAATAGCAGCCCATTCTCTTCCGCATTAAAAGTAACAGTTCCTGAATCTAATACTTGAAGGAATTCGTGAATATGAAGTCTATATTCATGTTATACATGTGCTTATGTATTTATACCAACAAGAGTTTTGTTTTTGTTTTTTTGAGACAGGGTTTCTCTGTGTAGCTTTGTACACCAGGCTAGCCTTCAACTGACAGATCTGCCTGCCTCTGCCTTCCGAGTGCTGGTATTAAAGACGTGCCCCACCACCACCCGGCCAACAACTGTATTTTATCCCTAGTTGAAAACATTGTTAATTCCCCTTGAGCTACCGCAGTTCTTCATATAGAAAGGACTATATGGGGGGTGGGGGCACTGGAGAAGTGGCTCACAGGTTTAAGAGCACTGGCTGCTCCTCCAGAGGTTGTGAGTTTTAATTCCCAGCAACCACATGGTGGCTCACAGCCATGTATAATGAGATCTGGTGCCCTCTTCTGGCCTGCAGGTATACATGCAGGCAGAACACTATACATAATAAAGGATTATAACTACATGTACTTTGTTTTAGAAAAATAGTAATCTTATACAGAACCTGTGAGTAATGACTTGTTTCTAGTTCACATTGGAGGGAAGGGTTTTTTTTTTTTTTTTTTCATTGGGGGGAAGGGTTTTTTTTTTTTTTTTTTTTAAATAATTTAACTTTATGGTGTGAGGTGTCAGATTCCCTGAAACTGAAGTTACAGATAGTTGTGAGCTGCCATGTGAGTGCTGGGAATTGAACCCAGACCCTCTGGAAGAGGAGCCAGTGCTCTTAACTGCTGAGCCATTTCTCCAGCCCTGGAGGGAAGTTTTATGTGGCAAAAAAAATGCTTTTGGAATCTAGAAATTGTCAGCTTGTGCATTGGGGAAGCTTACTTTGAGTGAGTGAGGTAGTTCAAATTATTATAACTTTAACTTTGATCTTCCTGATTGCTGTTTTTAATAAGTTAGTATCTATATTTGTATGTAACAAAACATCACTACTTGAAGTAACTGCAGATTTGTTTAAACTGGTGAGTGAAACTATCCAAATTATGGATTTGGATCAGAACTTTTTAAAGGCTTGTCACCAGTATAAGTATAAATTTGTTTTTTTTTTTTTTTTTTTTTTAAACCTTCTCTTCTTGACTCAGTTTGAAAACGGGTTTTGTTTTCATTGTTGGCTTCAGAACATTTCTGCTGTACTTCCTGAACTGTTGTCGTAGGGTTTTGTGTCTTTGTGGCTCATTGCTGTGATAATTCCTTAATGACTGAAATGACCCTGAACAAGCTAAACAAAATGGAGTTAGGAGGTTTCCTGCCCTTGGAAGTGGCTTTGTGGAAGTTTGTCTCAGCTCAGCAAATAACTGTTCTTGGCTTAGATAAGGAATATATGGGCCTATGGTAGGAATAGACGTGCATTATTTTTGTTATAAACACAGATGTTGATAGTACTTGAGGTTTTCAACTTTAAAATCTAGGAATGGGGCTGGAGAGATGACTGAGAGGTTAAGAGCACACTGCTCTTCCAGATATCCTGAGTTCAATTCCCAGTAACCACCACATGGTGGTTCACAACCATCTACAATGAGATCTGGTGCCCTCTTCTGGCCTGTAAGCAGACATGCAGGCAGAACACTGTACACATAATAAATAAATAATTTTTAAAAATCTAGGAATGATCAATTAAAATGTGGAAACAACTTCCCACCAGAAAGGTTTCCTTAGATCTTTTGGGGGAGGGAAGGCGTATTCAAGACACGGTTTCTCTGCAGCTTTGGAGGCTGTCCTGGAACTAGCTCTTGTAGACCAGGCTGGTCTCTAACTCAGGGAACCACCCCCCCCCCAGGATTAAAGGCGTGTGCCACCACTGTCTGGCCGTTTCCCTGGATCTAATCCACGGTGTTTTTAGCTTCTTTTTGTTTTTTTTTTTTTTTTGAAAACGCTAGATTCTTTGAAGTTAGTCAGTGACCTATTTTGAACTCTTTGCCTCCTTCCATTGTAATGGTTTGGGTCATTTGCTGTGAAGCTGTAAATAGGCTTTAATATTTATTGACTACAGGAAAAAATTATTCTTAGGTATGCATGGTGATAATCCTAGCAACTGAGGAGGCCGAGGCAAGAGTTTCTAGTTCCAAGTCAGCCTGGGCTACAAAGGAAGACCCTTGTCTGAAATTTTTTAAGTAGCTGCAGTATAACATGTATTGTTTCTTACATAATTGTTGAATAATTGATCCTTTACTTAAACTGAAAACTGATGATTTGGTTGTAAGAAATCATAGTTTGTTTACACAGTTAACTCTAAAGTCTTTTTTTTTTTTTTTAAGCTGTTCGGGACTGAACTTAAAGTTCTTTTTGTTTGGTACTTAATTCCCAGCCATCTTAGTCTTCTTTTTTTTTTTGAAAGAGGGTCTGTTTGATTTGTTTTTTTCCACTGAGACAGGATTTCTCTGTGTAGCTTTGTAGACCAGGCTTGTCTCAAACTCACAGAGATTGAAAGAGGGTCTTAAAGTTGCTTTTTAAACTCACTGTGTAGCCCAGGCAGGATGTGGACTTCTGATAGTTTGCCCCAACTTCTGTAGTACCTGTGATACTCACCAGGCCTGGTCATTTTATTCTGGTTTCTGGGTTGGGTCAATATGTCATACTTGGAAGTATGTGCTCCTTTTCTCAGTCTTGTCAGATATGTCTTTACCAAAGTAGTTTTAACTAGCATTGTATGTGGGAGGGAAGGTGATGGTATAAATATTTAGAGGGTGGGGCACAAGCTAAAAGTTCGGGATAAATTGATATTAGCTCTTCCTAATTGGCAGCCAAGGCACTTACTGATGTAACTGAAGCGGATTTTGTCCTGTACTTTTTCCCTATTGTGCTCTTCCCTTCCACCCACCCTTTTTTTTGTTCCTTTTTTCCTCTGTTACAGTTTAGAAAACGCTAAACCCTCCTCCCAGGCAGCCTCCGTCACGATCCCTGATCACCTCAGCATCAACCTCTCTCAACCCTCCACCCCTTCTTCTTCTTCTTCCTCCTCCACCACCACCCCCTCGCTCGCCACAGCGGGGACTTCCGACGCACCCTCCAGCCTCCCCAACCCTCTTCCGACCGCCCCTTGTGTCTCCAGTCTGCTTGGCATGAAACCCATCCCTCTCCTGGCTCTAAATGTTGTGTCTGCTGCTAAGGGTACCGGGGCTTCAGCTACCACCACCACCACCTCTACTGTGCCATGTGTAACTAACAAACTGAAAGGCGAGAAACAGAGATTCTCTCCCTACTGAGTGCTTATCTTAGCACCTCCTCAAGTGTTGGTTCATTTTGTTTTTCTTTGTTAACATTGGTGAGAACCAAACTATTGTGAGCTTGTGACCGTTTTCTTTTTACTACTTTGGGGGATAACTGGGTGGGGGTGGGGATGGGTAATTATTCTTGTTTAGGTTTAGGTCTTTACAAATCAGTGCCTGTTTCAGTCTGACTTGTTGATTGAAATCTTTATCTAGAGCCACAGTTCTTACTCTCTCTCATTCTGTTACACTTTTTTTGTAGCTTTATTCTGCCTTGCAATATATAAACAATGTGTTAGGCTCTGTGTTGATGAATAAAATCTTCTCCGTTAATCCTTTCTTTTTTTTTTTTTAACTTTATTTAATGGTTAAGCTGTCATCTGGCCTTCTTGGTCAGATCTGTGTCTCTAGTAATAATAAAGTTGCCACAGTAAGAACCGTAGCTCACTGTGTGATGTGACGGGTGAAGGGGTGGGGACTTGTGATCTGTGCCTTCTAAGCTTGGATGGCTATACAGCCTACTTGGGCCTTTTTGCATCACACATGAATTTCAAAACCCTTTGTCAATCAGTATTCCTAAGTAGAAGAGCCATCACTAGCTTCAAGACTGAGTCTTCATTTTATTGCCCAGAAACTTTTAGTCAAGAACAGCTTTCCTTACATTGCTAACACCAGTCTATAACAAGGGTGTCCTTGCCTAGCATGTCCTTTCAAAGGCATATACATAGGATTTATCCATAATAATGTGCTGGGTCAAAAGTTAGGTAGCTTTTCTATGTATTCCTTTAATGGATCATTAAATATCCTTCTGTGATAATTAGGGAGGACTTACTTGATCTGTGTATGTTGAATAGTCATTCTAAACCAACTAATTGGTCAGGCAAGTTTGTTTACCTTCTATTTCCTTCCTCCCCTTCTCTCTCTAGCAACACTATCATGATAGATAATATGCTTTTAGATTTGAGTGAAGTTTAGGTATTAACTGTTCTGTAGCAGTAAACAGAAAAAAAGCCCCAAGAGAATATAAACTTTATGACGTGGGTGATTAGCTAGAACTAATTGTTTGGCTGTGCTTTTTACACATTTGTGCTCTTAGCTCCTGGTGTTTACTAAATTATTTTTTTCTGGTACTGGGGCTTGATCCCAGGACCTTGCACAGTATAGCTTACCAGAGGTAAATCTCAGCCATTTGTTTTTGTTTTTTTTTTTTAATCAAGATGAGCTCTGGGTATTTTACACAAAAGAGAAAAATGATGTACTAGTGCTGAAGATTACAGCTTAGGAAGTGATAGAATATTTGCTGGGCCCTGGGTTTGTTTTCTATTGTTGAAGAACAAAAAGGAAGAGAAATATATCTCATTGTTAGAATGCCATTTGATTCTCTTCCAGTCAACCAAGGGACATGCTGTGAGTTTACTGGTGGCAGTGAAGATTTCTTTGTAGATTTTTTTTTTCCTGACGACCTTTCCCAACATCCTTAGGGTGAAATTGAACAACATCAGAAAGACATAGCTGCTTGTGTGTATTAAATTGCCTTTCAGTCTGTAGTGTTATTGTGGCTCCTTTATTCCAGATTGACCTTACACATTTGTGTTCAATATACCCCAGGACTGGGTCTGGATGTTAGCTGAGTCCTAAGTTGTGTGGTTCAACTCTTTTTATAGTTACAGCTTAATTAACCACACTCATAACTATCTTAATATTGATTATCTTGTCTGTTGGAAGGCCTCTTTTTTTATTTTTATTTTATTTATTTATTTATTTTTGAGACGGTTTCTCTGTGTAGGCTGTCTTGAAACTGTAAACCAGGCTTTCCGTGAATCCCACAGAGATCCACTTGGCTCTGTCTCTTGATTAAAGGTGTGTGCCACCACTGTCTCCCTGAAAGGCCTTTTAATCAAATGTCCCCAAAAAGAATTGCTGGGAAGGAATCCAGATGTTGAAGAGGCCTGACATGAATCAGATGTGTTTCTGGTTGAGATTCTGTGCCTCACCCACTGCATCTTGCCCTTTCAATTCTATCATTTAAAGGCTATAATTACAGTGAGTCCTGGACAGTTCTTAAGCTTTTCATATGGCCACAGTGCCACCACCCTATATGGTGTGGGGTATTTTGTTGAAGATTCTAGATTTAAAATAACCAGTTTCATTGAAACTTTGTTTCCTACTGAGCTTTATCATTCAGTTTGTTTTACTTATTTGTATGAGTGTTTTGTGTTTGTATGTATGTGCACTGTGTGTGTACAGGAGCCTCAGGGAATTGGAGTCACAAACTTGTGAGCCAGCAAATGAACCAAATCCAGGTCCCTGCAAGAGTAACATGCTTCTAACCCTGAGTTGTCTCTTAAGTTCCTAAAGCTCATTGTTTACCTGCCCATGCATGCTCACTGGTGTATATATTTGTTTATGTTGATGTTTGTGGTTGTGTGTCGTAGTGCATATAGGTGGAAGTTATTGTCTTCCACCCTGTTTCAGATGCTTTTTTTTTATTTCAGTGCTCTATCTGCATGTACAACTTTATGTGAGAAGAGGGCATCATATCCTACTGTAGATCATTGTGAGCCATCATGTGGTTGCTGGGAATTGAACTCAGGACCTCTGGAAGAATAAGTCATTGTTCTTTAGCTGCTGAGCCCAGAAGGTCTTTTTGATTCTTGCTAACAGCAATCTTTCCAGCCTCTAGGCATTTTCCTTTCTCTATTTGTTATGTGTGGTAGCTGTGCTGGGAGTACAGATGCACTGGACTCCTTGCTGTGTACGTTTAAACACGTCTTTATGTTCCTATGACAAACACTGTATACACTGAGCCATCCCCACAGCCCATGTATTCCTGTTTTGTGTGTGCACATGTATGTGAGTCTGTGTACATGTGTGCAGGTGCATGTAGTAAAAACATGCCCCCCCATTCTCCAACTTACAACATTTCTGAATTTATTTTTTGAGATGAGATCTTTGTCTGAATCTGGGGCTCACTCATTTAGCACGCATCACAAATGTATTCTCTTCAGCCTCCCCAGCATTGGTATTACCGGTGTGCAAAGAATGAGATATTCCCCTTCATACTGAATTTCACCTATGGGCATACTAAGCAGGCCTGACTCAAAAGCTTTGGAGATCTCACATCTGTATTTAACTTACACACATTCAGGGTAGTAAGGCAGACAGGAGCAATCATTTCTGACTTTTAAGAAAAAGCACTGTCTTTAATTGAAGGATGACCTTTTGGTTCTGGGACAATCCCCTCCCTCTATAGTATTTGTATATTATTGCACACAGTATTTTTCAAACACCACAAATGGATGTCAGTCAGCTTTTAATGAAGTTTAACCTTATAGCTTGCAACTGAGACTTAAACTTTTAGTTCAAAATGACGTATTTGGCTGCTTACTTGATTTTAGTGAAGTATACTTAATGCCTTTCCCTCAAAGTTTAATTGGTTCCATGACTTCAGATGACCTATTTAAAACAGAAGTATAAAGGAACTGTATATGATTTGGGTTTTGAAGAGTGAGCTAAAGAACTGAAGTCCTGCTGTTTGTTTTCCTGTTCATTTTTGTACTGAAATCTAAGCCTGAAAATAATAATTGAATTCTTTACTGCAGTTCCTATACTTGGTTCCTCCCTTTAACACCCTTTTAAATTGCATAATGTGTTCAAATGTGCTTCCAACACACAAAGTAATCACCTTTACACGAATAGAGGTACATATGCTGTAATACACAATAGCATTAACTTCCTGAAGGCTAGTGTTCTCCCCAGACTTGTGTTTGAAGGAGGTAAGCAGTACAGTAAGGAAACAGCTGTGCATTCCCCCACCCCCCCATAAGTGTTGTCTCCCCTTTGCCAACAACAGTAGTAGTGTATCTCTAGAAACTTTACTGACAAAGAAGAGACCAGCATGGCATACTTTGTTAAACCTCTTCTGAAAATGCCTCAGGACAGTTGATTGTAGTGGTGTTACACACACAGCCCCCACATAACACACCACACTAGTTAATGTAAGAAACCTTGGCATGCCCTGTTAGTAAGTACTGACTCTACCTGGGAAAACTGACTTGACTCTTGTTTCTGTTTTACAGGCTTTCCTCGGAGACAGGTGGCATGGGGAGCAGCTAGAGCAGTGCAGGTTCATCCATGATCCCTTCCTGCTCTTCACCACCACCCATGATCCATCTGTGGAGTTTCTCAACAGTCAGCGATTCCAGGTTTTAAATAGTTTGTAAATTTTCAGTTTCTACACACTTTATCATCCACTCATGATTTTTTAATTCAAAGCGTTTTAATTCCTTTCTCTGTTCAGCAGTTATGCTGAGATATCCATATTTAGTTTTATAAGCTTCTCCCCCTTTTTTTCCTTTTTTTTTGGATTTTTTTTGGCTCATGAATTTTTGTTTGTCATGGAAATGTAAGAGTGGAATATTAATACATTTCAGTTTAGTTCTGTAATGTCAGGAATTTTTCAAAAAAAATTAAAAGATGGACTGGAGCTTTTTCTTTGTGAATAGAAACTGGATGGCACAGTGACTTATGTGGGTTTTATTCCTGTCTTGATGTTATTTTTATACCTTTAAACCTTCACAGAGCCCTGGTTGGGTTTGAATAGAATTAAGGTATTTTCTTCCGTTTTACCACTCCATTTTTATTTTTTGTTGTTGTTGCTTTGTTTAATTGCCCTCGATCTTTCCCCTCCATGATTTTGGGTGGCTTTTAGGAAGTCAATTCTTGAAGAATGGCAATTACATTTGCCCAAGGATTGTAGAGCAACAGGTGTGTCTGTGGACCTGGGTCAGGAAAGATGTGTGTAAACATGCATGCATTTTACACACACACACACACACACACACACACACAATTTGGTCGATAGTAAGCTTGTTAAACCTCTTGACTGCCCCTTATTCTGCCTTTTGTACTTGAATGTGTTAGCTCATGGGTGTCCTGAAATCATTGAGAAAAGTCACCTTATGAAGTTGGAGTTGAACATGTTTAGAATGTGGAAAGTTGTGCAAACTCTTCACTCCATGTGCTCCACTCCATCCATTCATCAAGAAAACCCTCGACAGATGGGCCTGCATGGAGTGGTTATATTTCAGGGTTTTTCACAGGGGTTACAATATGATAGTCCCCGCCCTACCAGGCACCAGGGTAACAGTAGGGACTTAAACACAGCACCCCAGTTTTCTAGCTCTTCAGCCTGAGCCATCACATGCTATCAGTCTTCTAACTTGCCTCTGGGCCCCAAGCCAGGGCTTGGGCAGAGAAACAGAGGGACAAAGAAATGGGTTACATTGCCACCTGAGAGACCTCAGAGGGGAGGACCCAGCCTTAGTTTCCCT